CCTTTGGGAAACAGTATTAGTGCACTAGAAGTGTGTTGTCACTTAGCTATGCAGAGTAAAGCTAGCACCTGGGAATCAGTTAAGTGCAGTAAATAAGGTAGCAAATCTTGTGTAGCTTTTACATTGTTTTGTTTTCCTGCTGTATTTTGTGTTTTATTCTGTTATATTATTTCATTTGTTCTAGTTGCCCTTTTAAGTTGTTCTGTTTCTCTTGCTGCAAGCCACCCCCCCCCAGCCTTTGTTGGGAAGGATAGTGCACGAATCACAAACAGACAGCCAAAGGGACTGTAAATCTTATCTCATAGGGTGTTGTTTAAGAACTAGGAAGTGATCACATAATTAACTACTACATTGTAATGTGTATAACCCCCCTTCCTCAACCCCCTTCCCCATTCTGACTGTACTCCTTTTTTGCTGTTTTTAACCCCTTGTTACACGGGTGCAAGATAATGATAGAGGCATGAGGGGACACTTAGGATGCCAGGCTTCAGATCCCGTGCATGTGGCACGATACAGGCCAACTACCTGACCACTTGTTGCAAAGCCTCTTATTTGAGAACAAGTTTCTCTACAACCTTGCACACAGGCAAGTAGTATCTTCTAGCTTGTTTTCAGTCTCAGGTCCCAGATTCACAACAGCCATAGGTGTCACTGAAGACACAGGGTGCATTACAGCTATTGGAAGTGCCTCAATCCTGGGGTGGATCCTGTGCCAGCAGCCTCAAGACTGCTCTAAGCAATTGTAGTTACCACTAATCTCTGTGACAGATGGCTCCATCATGTACTTTGTGTTTGAGATTACTTAGAGATAAATGTCTTAAGCCCCAACATATCTGTTCATCAGGGAAGAGGCAACACCTCTTCCAGCTGCAGTCACTCCATCCTACCTCTCTCCCAAACAGTGGGGCAGCCTTACCTGTGTCAAACTCGAAGCCCTTCTTGCTAAAGGTGTGGCAGCAGCCACCCACCCTGCTGTGCTGCTCCAGTACCAGCACTCGCTTCCCAGCTTTAGAGAGGACCACGGCAGCAGCCAAGCCCCCAAAGCCACTTCCGACCACAATAGCGTCGAGGTTTTGAGGCACCTTGTCTGCAGAGAAGGCTGCAAGAGGAGGAGAAAGTTGTCATCAGCACAGAACTACCTTTACATCTGGACCAGGGACAATCTTGCTATCCCCTCCCAACAGTTCCCTGTCCATTCCTGGGACCCAGCTTCTCCTCAAAGACAGCACCATCATGTAACCTTGCTAGTAGACTGTTGTACAGAAGGGCCTGGCATCTCCTGAAGTTCCACCCAATACAAACAGTGTCCCAATGTATCCTTCCATACTGTTGCTTATGTTTCAGACAGACTTGCATGCAGCTGGGCAGGGATGGGCCTAACCTGACAGCTAGCTCCAGGGTCCCTGCTGTCTTGCATAATGTCTAGATTCATCCAGCTCAGTGAGCTCCCACCTTCACCCTTCCAGGAAAGACCATCACAAATTGCGCTGCCTAGTACAAGCAACAGCTTTTTACCCCCAGGGCTTTGGGGCCACACTTCTGCTGCAGCAGTCTGTTTCACAGACTATCCAGTCCATCCAGTGGAAGACTTAGTCCCTACTGGGCATTTTAGTGTTGTTAATAATTTCTATAGCCTCCGAGGCCCTCAGTAGAATCAAGTCCTTGTTATGTTGGGTGCTACTGCCCTTGCCTCAAAGAGCTCCCAATCTAAATGGAGCTTTCAGTGAGGCTGCCAACATCCCATGCAACAGGAGAAGTAGACGCCAAGTACGTGGGAGCCCGAGGGCCCTGGCCCCACTTGGGAAGAGGGTAGGGTGATGACCTGTCCCTAATTGGATGGGACAGTCCCAAAATTGGAACATCAAGTTGCAGTCCTGGGTTGTATGACTCTGGGACAGCATTTGTCCCAGATTCACAGTATCATGCAGGGATCTGGGTTTTCTGTTCACTGCAGGAAACAGAGGGTTTCCTCTTGCAGGCCGGCAGAGTTCCAGTTTGCAAGAGGCTGTGGAGTGGAACGAGCTCCCCCAGCTGCCTGCAGGTAAATTGGGGGTGGGGAGGGGGGATTGAGGCTTCCACAATGAGGGAGGGAACGGAGCAGGGGCTGTCCAGCCAGGGGGTGCACGGGGCTGGGGCAGGGAGTGGGACAGAGCCACAGGAGGCTCGTCTGTGGGGGGGCAGCTCTCTGCCACTGCACACTCCCAGGGAATGGGGCATGGGGGGGGACATGTGCCCCCCAGATTTGTGTGAGGGCTGGGGGTAGATGTGGGCTGCCTGCTGCAGACTCGGGGCTCCCCACCCTGCTGCTGCAGGTGCCCCCAGGAGCCCTATGCCAGCTGTACCACCACTGCATGGCACCCCCTGCCTGCCTGGCAGCAGTGGCGTCAGGGGGTGTGAGATTGTGCCCTCCTGCTGCTGTCAGACAAGCAGGGGCACCTCGCCATGGTGGTGCATCCAGCACAGGGCTCCGGGAGAGACGGCAGCAGGGCGGGAAGCCCCGAGCCCACGGCGGGGATTCTGCATCTGCCCACCCTGCCATAGGCTCTGCTACTGGTGGAGGGGAGAGAGGGGGCATCATCTTAGGCCCCCCCTTCCGCCGGCAAAAATAAAAGTCAGCGCCTATGACAGTAGATCCATGTGCCTCCCCTTGCTCAGACTTTCCCAGCTATAGATCCATCTTTTCATGATGCTTCCTTCATACTCTAGTGCCCAAATACTGTTGTAAGATATTTGACTGGCTCCATAGGCTTTACCCCTTTCATCCACACGGACTATCTTCTGATGGAGACTTAGTAGGTGCCTTCAGGGGGTTACACTATTGTGTTTTTTGGCAGTAGGGGAACATTTGTTGGCTGAATTCTTGGATATGAAAATGGTATGGTCTGGTGCTGGGTGGTGACGCATTCAAGAACATCATCTGGCATGTTCCTTCTGAAAGGCAGTGAGCGCAGGTAAGTGGAGATGGTTTGGGTCTATTACCGTACAGACTGGGTTCTACTTGTAGCTCCACCGACTGCCATCTCATGTAACCCCTCTGTAAAATGGGGCAATGAGGGCTGGTCTGTGGTCTGAGGTCCATTAACAATACCTATAAAATGCAAAGAGATCTTGACAGCAGCTAGGATGAGATCTCATGGTCTCTTGTCCTGTGGTTCAGCACAGCCTCCTCTTGCCTTCTGGATAGTCTGTGACTCTCTCAATGTATCCCTGGGATGTAGGCATAAGAGTACCACACTTAAAAGCATCACACGAGATGCTTGATGCCTGGCAGGCCTAATTAACCATTGTAACATAAGATGGGCCTGTTTTGGGGAGAGGGTCTGTCTCTTGGATGTGGGGAGAAGGATGCAATCCAGGTCCCTGCAAGATTCTGTCCACGCTGGCCTTGGCACTCATGTGGTACGTTTCCTCTGGGGAAGGCTAACAACACACCTGCAGAGTTTGGCACATTAGTAAATGCCTGCTCTTCTCAGCCCAAGGGGTACAACTGTCAGAAAGTGTTATTATCTAAGAAGAGGCAGAGACTCCCTTGGGCACAGAAGACCTGTTATGGAAATCTTCACTTAAAATCCGGGATATCAGTGTATCCAATCACAGCTGACTGTTGTGGAGGCAGGGAAGTCAATGGGTGGTTGAAGGAACTGCAGCGCTCCTGTGGGGTCGGCTGCATGCAAACGATCCAGTTGAGGAGTGAATTGGACCTGTTCTGTGCAAAGAAGAGAGGGGGCACAGCCTGGGGGGCATGAGAAGGCTGTTTGGTTTGTGGGAGTGTATCCGGGCATTGGTGGGCCTCTAGCAAATGCATGTGGATGGGGGCATGTGCATTCAATGTGCCCAGCAGTGGGGAGGGGACAGAGTCTTGGAGCAGGAGAGAGGAAGAGACCCGGCAGAGGGGATATGGGGAATATAGATAGCAGAGCCCAGAAATCGCTGCTCCGCCCACAAAATGTTTTTGCTCCGTACACCCCTAGGCAGCAACCAGAACAGATGCCCCCAGCAGGAGAGCTTAGCGGGTACCTTGCTTGAGCACCTTCTTCCGAATGTCCTTGTCGGTCACCAGAGGAGCTGGTGGTCTCCTGACATCCACAGAGAAGGGGTTTGGGGATTTGCTGCTGAAGAAACTCCAGAATGCCAGGAGAAGCAAGACAAGGAGCAGGATCACATACAGCCACATGTTTCCAGTTCTGTCCCTCTTCCCAGTGACCCAGCAACAACTATGGGCTGAATTAAACAGCCCTTCCTCCCTGCAGCTGACTCAGCTGGCTGGTTCAGACTCTGCCTCTTAAAGGCACAGTCAGGGTGACCTCCAGAGATTTCTACACTTGCTGAGTCTCCCTCTCTTGAAGAAAGCTTTTCGGGCTGGTTGCTTGCTTGGCATAGCGATACAAGTCTGAGCATAGCAGCGATTTGCAGAAGTGAAGCAGTTTTGGAAGACTGCATGCGAGTTACACAATCCAGCCAAGGAGGGCTTATTCCTGTGTATTGTGTTGTATAACTCCACTCATGGACATTCCCCTTTCCACTCGTTGAGTGCCTTTATCTGTTTCAATGTAAAAGATGCACAAGGAGACATAAAACTGAACCAAATACATTGCAAAACAGCTCAGAACCTCCCTTAGGTGTTGCTAGAGGCCTATTGAAAAGGCTTAATACATCTCTTCTGCTGTCCCTGCTGTGTCTTGCATAGATGTACTGAAGTTAACTTTTAAGCGTGCTAGATTAGGGATGGCTGGTGGTACAGCCACAGGTAGCACAGAGTTGGCTGCAGGCTAATTGCTGGAGCATTTTTCTTAGCCTTTTGTCTGCTCACGCTGAACTCTGTAGCCGCGCTGTTAGCAGGACCCGCACTAGCTAGTTCAAAGGCAGCTCTGATGTGCAGTGAGAGATGCAGTATTGCCAACCCCATCGTGTCAAAAATCACGAAACAAACTCTTAAAAATCAAGAGATTTGGAATGCAAATCATGAGATGCTATTTTTGAAGAGTGTTTGTGTGTGTGGGGGGGGGAATTATTTGTGAAGGTGTGGGGGGCTGTAGGTTTGGAGTCTGGAGGAGGGGGTGTCCCCGCACACCCTGGCAGGATATGGGGTACTGTGGGTCAGGAGTGAGGGGCAAAAGCAGGGCAGGGGGGATGAGGGACAACAAGCAAAGCCCTCTGCACCATCCCCTCCTCCTTGGGAGAGGGGCGAAGCTCTTGCGTTCACTGCGGATTGCCCACCCTCGCTTTCCATAGCCGCGGTGGCTCCTGGGAGATGTAGGCGCGGGGTTGGGGCTGGAACTACAGCTCCCAGTAGGCGGCGCGCATGCGCTCTGCACGGGGAGGGAGCGCAGGTTGGAGTGCAAGGGCGGTAACCCCTCGGCTCTTGGATTTCCGGGGGGGGGGGTCAAAGGTCAGGAGGAGCGTGGGTAGGGAGGGTGTGCGTGGATCCAGGGGCAGGGGAGCCTGGGGGTGGGAGTGGCCGGATTTGGGGACTGGGGTAGGGGTGGAGGCGGAGGAGGGCCTTGGCACCACCCTGCCTTGGGGATTCCTGGGTCCTTTCCTGGCATTGCCCTGCTGCCCCCCCCCCCCCCCCCCCCCCCCGGCTTGGGCTGCAGCCAGCAAGAGAGGTGCCCCCTGCCCTGATCCTTGCCGCTCCATCAGGTCCTGGGGTGTGACACGATCCCTGGCCTGGGTGGCTGTCGCGCTGCCAAAATGGGCTTGCAGCCAGTTTCCGAAGGGCTCTGGCCACTCCCTTGTTGGTCGCCAGACTTGGCCCAGGGGATTTAGTCAAAGGGGCATCTCTCTGGCACGTGGGAGCATGTTCGGTTTTGGCGGTGGGAGGCTGGCATCCCCCCATTGTGGTTCGAGCTTGCGTGGATGCCCTGCCATGGTGCATGCTGCCCAGCTCTGAGCCCTGGGACTGTGTATTGCACTGGGAACCAGAGGCCTGGAGACAGAGATTAGGTAGACTCGAAAGAAAGCCAAGTCCTGGAGCAGGGCAGCCCCCGAAGCCTTTCTGCTTAGCTAGCCTGCCTTAGAAACAACCCACTGTGTGTTTGTGGCTGTGCTGTGTTTGAAGTGAAGAGTGAGGAGCCCCACACCAACCGCACCCTTCAGTGGGGCCACACGTGCAACGCTGACAGCTCAGGCCTCTTTGGGAGGCGATGGACTGGGTTCCCTTGTGACTGTGGCTGCCTTGTTTCCTGCAGGGCATGAACCAACGCACCCCAGACATCGAGCGGTCTGAAGAGCAAGATGTTTTCCTTCCAGCTGTCAAATTCGTACCTGTGTGTATCCCAGGCTCCTTCATGCTTTTCAATAGCCTGAAACTCAGAGCTAGGATCTAAATGTCACGTGGAGACCAGCCTAAAGTGTTTGTGGAATATGAAGGGAATATGAAGTCCTTTCTGGAGCGTTATGCCAGGGGTTGTCTGGCACAACTACTTTCTACATGTGTGTTTACAAGATAGAGCAGATTGTGTACACGCTGGAACCTGTGGTCACAAGCGCAGTTGTTTTGATTATGGCTGCATGACAAGCCACGGTAGCACCCTGAAGCTGTTGTTCATTGCTGGGGTTAACTACCAATGCACATAGCAGCAAGTGAGTGCGGTGCTGGCTTTGAGCCCTGGAACAGTAATGGTTACAAAAAGCAAGCCTGCTGTCATGTGCCCCAGTGTGATATCAGGCTTACGTAGTTCTGTCAGCCCTCCTGTATCTATCCCTGTGGATGGCCTCACTTCTCTTTCCACCATCATAACGAGGTCTCCCATTCCCCTGCCAGCTTGTCTGTGGAGAGCAACCCACCTCCTTTCCTGAGATCTCTACTCATGGTGGGGAGGCAGGGACCTTAGCGCCTTGACTTGCTCACTCATTCCTCTTACTACTTGTCTTGCAGGGGGTGAATCCAGGCAGGTTTGGCCTAGGGTTGCTCAGAAAACGTGCAGCAGGTGGGCTGGGTACTTGCTGTGGTTTTCTGACTTGGAGTGTAAACCAGGAAGGCTGTGTAGTTGGCAGGAGACACTGTTGAGAGTCTGGTGCCTGGTACAGAGGGAGAGAGCATCACACTGTGACAGCCCTAGAAAACCCTCAGAGGGTGCCTCTAATTTCCCTGACCACCCCCACGCATGTAGTGTGACTTCAGGCTTCAGCCAGATTCAGTGGTGATGGTGATGTAACAAAACTAGTGCATGCTAAGGTGAGAGCGGGTGGTTGTGGCCCCAGGGAGACCTCACATAGGGAGGTGTTATTCAGCCCAAGAGGAGGCATAAACAGCATGGCCCTTCCTAACTGCACCTGTCTGTTTGTGTGTCTCTGCTTAGATCTCGATGCTGAAACAGAATGGGCTGTTGCAGGCTCTGTCAGAAGAAGCCAGTGGACTTACAGAAGCTGGTAAACTCTAGCTGAACTCCCCCTTTTAGTGTCCTTTGGTTGTGCAAGGCTGCACGTGGCTTGCATGCTGTATCATTGTCACAGCCCACTGTCTGCAAAGTAAATACAGTCTCTTGATGGGCACAACCAGATTCTCTCTACACTGGGACATATCTGATTGGCACGAGCCTGGTGATTTGTACCCAAGTATTTCAACCTGCCCAGAAAGTCTTTCCCTGATATGTGGGCCAGATGTGGCTCTGTATCACCACAGCAATGTCCTGCCTCTCTCTCTATTCACTGAACAAGCGTCTCCCTTCTGTGACTGTTTGTTTCCCAGCTGGAATGCTGTGCCTGTGGCAGGTCTATCTGTGGAATCTGTGTAGGGTATGATGTGGGGTCCTTATTATAGTTCCCATGAATCCAGGCCTCTCCCAAGTTACAGAATCCAAGCAGAGTGTTTGTCCATGTACTTGGAGCTGTGCTTTTTCAGTGATCCAGAGTGGATGGCAGACACCTGGAAAGGCTCTGAGGAATGCCCCCTGCTGACTGTGTGCCTAGCATGTCTGTGAGGCACTGGCCTCAGTGGATGAGCAGAGCAGCTAGGCCCCTGGGGAGTGTGGATGTAGTGTGATCACTCCTCAGGTGTGTGGTGGGGTCAGGACCCTTCCACCCTTAGCTGCCTTGCAGGTGTCTTGCACTATGGGCTCACATGCAACCATGTGATAGGGAGTGGATTTTACCCACAGCCTCCCACCTTAGAAAGACCTCATCCCAGAGCCCCCTAGTATCTGTTGGTATCTGCTGTATCAGAACAGTTGGGTTTGCTCCAGTCTAGACCTGACACCCCATAGTCAGGGCAGGAGGCAGGGAGGGAGATCATCGAGGAAGTTCCTGTTGCTCAGCATTACCTCGGGATGTCTAACAAAAGAGTAGATGGAATGGAGAGGGAAATGGGGTCCCCAGAGGTCATGGGAGCTGGAGTGGTGTTTACCTGCATGGTTTGCAAGCAGGTAAGGAAACAAGACAGTCATGTAGCCTGAGGTTTCTTGCTGTAACTAACTGCGTTGGTGTCTCCCTCTAACCAGACCCCAGCGAAGAGGTGCTGCGGGCCCAGGAAGAATGGGAGGCTTTGGAAGCTATCCAGTCAGGTATGGATAAGTACAATAACTGTCACACAATATGAGGGGACTAAGTCTCACACTGGGACCTCAGAGGCTGCTGCCAGCTGGGTAAGGAGACTGGGATGTGTGAGTGAAGGGGATAGAACAGGGGAGGAGACAGCAGGGTGGCCTGTGTCCACCACACACAGACCCCTCTAGAGTGAAGTCTCAGCTATCCTCTGGTATCAACAAGCATATAAGGAGATTGAAGAGACGTGCTTGAAGGCACGCCTGTACCCTGAGTCACTGGTTTGGCTTGGGCATGGAGTGTGCATCTATCATTACTTCAGAACAGGCCTTTCACCAGAACAGGAGCAGCACCTTGGGGACTCCATTCCCAGACTAACCTGTCCTCTCTTCCTGTCTGCAGGGACGGTGGACAATTCAGCAAGTCCTGTCACCCTGATCTCCTTCAACGAAGCGCTGCAGTACTTCCAGACGGCCGACCTCACTGAGTGCCGGGTATGGAGGGTGCAGATGACATTTACCTTTGTGTCCCTATCTCTGGGCCCCAGGAAAGCTCAGGGAGTGTTTTATTAAGGCACAGAGATATGAAGTGACTGAGGCTGAAACTCAGGCTGTCTAAGAGAGTCCTGTCACATTTTACCTCAGCTTCTTCCCCATCCAATTAGTCCTCCCAGACCCGTCTGCCCTCCTATTCTCCTGTTTATTTGTATGTACAGGATTTGCTAATATGTTTTTCTTCCAGATGAGGCCAAGGAGGCTGCGCTGCTTGTTTCCCTCCTGATTCCCCTTTCTATGTGTTGTTCTCTCCTCAGAAAAGAATCCAGCCAACACTGCAAAGGCGAGGGCTGTCTGCTGTGGTCCACTTCTTCTTAACACTGCAAAGGCGAGGGCTGTCTGCTGTGGGCCACTGCTTCTGTGGCCCACCACGCCTCCATCAGCAGCTGCAAGCTGAGCGGGACTTGGCTTTTGCGATTGCCCAGTGTGAGTACTTCTTGCCAGGGAAAGGCTCTGCCCAAATGCTTCTCCATCCTTGGAGGTTTTTAAGACCTGGTTAGACAAAGCCTTGGCTGGGATATAGTTGGGGTTGGTCCTACTTTGAGCAGGTGGTTGGACTAGATGAGACCTCCTGAGGTCTTTCCTATCCTAATTTTGTATGATTCTGTGAATCGCTACATGATGATTCCCACCATCTCCCTCCCCCTTACCTGATATCCTGGAGCATTGTGCCGTCATATACACTCTGGCCTGGGTATCTTGTTGCATGTGCTTTCTTCCTTGTTGGCAACTGCTTGCGTCCCCTGTTTCCCCATTCCCACATGAGCTTCTTTCCTGTGCAGCAAACCTGACATTGGCTAGTCCCTGAGTCAGTAACACCTTGTCTGAAAGCATTAGAATTTGGACGTTGGATGAATAGGTATATAGACATATATTTATGTCTTAGATATATCAAGCTCCTGAGGAGATCTTGTCAGGGTTTTCAGCGGCTACAGAGCTGGGTGTTTCTCAGCTGATGCAATAAATCGGAGAAGGACAGTCCAGGGGATAGGATGCCAGCCTGAGACTTTGGAGACTTGGGTTCGGTGCTCTGATCTGTCCTGCCACTTGCATCATATAATTATCTATTGTCCCAGAATCACAAACATTGCCACAGCAGTTGCAGCAGTATCTCCTCTTCATCAGTGGCCTGTGTCAGCTGCTTCATGGAAAGGAGCAAGACATCCTGCTGTAGGTAGTTAAACTGCATACAGGGAGTGTCTCAAACCCCATCTGATTTGAAGTTGGCTTCTGCCCTGGAGGCTGGAAGTTCCTCTTTTTTAAATCTAGCAGCTTCCTCTAATCCTTTCTGCTTGGACTGGATGCTCTTGTTATCCTAAAAAGGTCCCATTCTCTTTGTGAAGCCTGCCTGCGAGTTCCACAGGTAGATCTTGCATTATGGGGAAAAGCCTTTCCTTTTGTGTTTCATCCCTTCATCTCTCTGACAGCTGGGTTTGTTCAAGTGAAAGCCTTTATGTGTCTGGGACATTTTCACCTGTGACACTTTTTCCAGTAAGCATCAGTACAGGCTGAAACATGCAGTTTGTGACTGTGGTTGGGTTTTGTTTCTAGTTGGAATCTGACTTAATTTATTTAACCCTCAATTTTTTGTCAAGTTTCCACTGTGGTTCATTAGAGAAGGGGGATGCTGAATGTTGCAGACAGATGATGGATGTTTTCTCTGCAGGTGGCTTGGATAATAATGAGAAGGTGCATATGAGGATCCTGCAAACTATCTACAAGAAGCTGACAGGCTCCAGATTTGGTTGTCCATGCTATGGAGCCCACTGGGAGGAGCTCGGCTTTCAGGGTACGGGGTAGTAGAGAGAGGAGTTTGGGGGCCTTTGGTACAGAGCTCTGAGGGAAGGTCTCATCTATACCCCAGGCAGCACTAAGTCAAAGGGTTTTGGATGCACGTCTTTCACTATGCAGCTGTCACCAGGCACTGGACCAGTTGTCACCAGTGCAGCAGCTGGAGTGCCAGGTGCTGACATGCCAGCTGATGTTGTTACCACTGGCATATAGCTACTAATCTCCCTCTGATGACTGGTGCAACAAGCTGCCACTGGCAGAGCTGATTAAGCAGCTGTTCTTGGTCTGCCATTGCTGTTTGTTAGTGTGTTCTTAGTGTTTATTATTATGTTTGGAAGCGACTCTATGGCCATGTTCCAGTCAGGGTGTTAAAAGCATGGATTTAGCTTCTTTTTTTTTCCTGTCAGGAGAATGCAGTGTATTCCCCTCAAATTTACAGAACTTGCCTATGAAGGAATTTTTAATTGAATCTGTTTTTATCAGTTTATAGATTTTGCTTAATCAAAAGCCTGGCCCTTTAAAACGTAGCTTCTCTGTCCATTCTTTCTGTGTCACAAATGATTTGAACAATGGAACAACAGACTTCTCAGGATTTCAGACTCATTGAAATTCTGGGCACCGGCTGTTTTTGAAGAAGTTAAGCTTTAATGAAGCTGTTAATGATGGCAGTCTGTAATTGGTGGGCGAGTGACAAGCTTGGGTCAGTAACTCTGGGAATTCTTGAGTGACTTCAGAAGTAACTTGCCAATCAATGCTGCGTCTGCAGCTAATTCACGTGTTGTAGTTCTGCTGGATGCAGTGACTGCAAACAGATCAGTTCTCAGTGTCAGAGATGAATTCCTTGATATCTGACTAGCTAGTTGGTTTCCTTTGACCTTGTCTGCTTTGCTGGTTTTGGGGACTAGGCACTTTTAAAGTATTTTTAAAAATGTGCACATTTTGGGGAATAGGCTAGAGATGCTCCCTGGTAGTCTTCAGCTAGCTCATCTTGTGCACAATACTAAAACGCAAGACTCTGTTGATGTAAGTTATACTGGAATAGGTGTCACTTGTTCACTTTCATTCCAGGGTAGACATTTGCTTAAAGTAAACAGGCTGTTTGCTCCCCTGATGTAAGGAGCAGTAATAGCTACCTGCTGTGTGTGCTGCCCCAGCATAGCAGTACAATATCTGACCTGGATCCCAATGTAATTTACATTGTTGTACAGGATCAATGCAAATAACACAGGCTTTCTGTAGGCTGCTTGAATTCCTTAGGGTTACTGCAGTGCCAGTTAATGAAAAGTTTTTTGGTTCTGTAGAGTCATTGAATTCCTTTGAAGAGTTCAGTGGGTCCTTTTGTAAAAAATCAGTGTTTGGTCTCTGGTTGTCCAGAATCTACCAGGGAAAATAGGTAAGAAGAGAGGAATTTGTAATATAATAATCAAGCATTAAAGAAACCTAGGACATTCCCTTTAAACAGTAAAATCTATCTGCCTTTTAGTCATGGTAGAAACAAAGTCACACAAAGGCACCAATTTAGAATCACCTGTTTGGTCTCCCTCCTTGTAGTGTCTGCGTGCATTTCTCATAATCCTCTGATAGTCACTATAAACTCTTGAAACAGTACAGTGACTGACGAGCATCCTGGCACAGGCTTGGGCCCAAGCCCACTGGAGGGGAAAGCCAGGCTGCAGGAGTAGGAGGCAGATTAAAAGGAGGATAGTCTTGACCACTTTGCTGTCCGGCTACAGAAGAATGGTATGCTGGAAGCCAGTTTGCTGCCCTCTGGGGCAGGGAAACTAGAAAGCAAGAAACTGTGGCAGGCAGGTCCTGGCAGGGCAGAGAAATAACACAGCATGTTGGGTGCCCAGTCACAACTGAATGGTGAATTCCATGGCAGAAATGCTGAATTCAGTGGTCTGTAGGAAAAATGCAAATTCTGTGAGGCTGCTCACAATGGAGCTATTGTTGCAAGCTGGCTGCAAATTCAAGCAAGTTCCAATGTATAAGTTCTTTTTTCAGTAGGGGCTGGATCAGAGCTGACACCCCCTAATGAGGCAGGGCTCTGTTCCCCATTTCCTCCTCTGTGCCCCATTTCCTCCTCCTCCCAAAGCAAGTTCCAATAGGTTCTTTTTGCCAGGGCTGGGAAAATTTCCTTAATGAAAGGGAAGGGTAGGGAGTTGTCAGAATTTACACAGGTCCCAGAAACAGGCCTGCTGTGAGCAAGGGCTGTGCTCAGAGAGCCTCAAGCCATATTTGTGCAGTATTTCAGCTCACTTCCTGTCTGACTTTTTTCTCAAGGTCTGGATCCTGGGACAGACCTGCGTGGGACAGGCATGCTCAGCTTGATGCAAGTCTTGTACTTTGTAATGGACCCTCAGACATTCTTGCTTGCCCAAGACATTTTCAAGCTGTCTCAACACAGTATGCAGGCATGTCCCTTCCTTTACCTCTGGGTGGGTATTTATTTAATTGTTATAAGCCTCAGGGAAGGGTAAGAATCACACACAACTCTACTTTACTTTGGCTGATAGGAAAGGTATTTAGAGGTCTGATTCTCTGCTGCATCCAGTTTCTCATAATGACAACATGTTATTTGACCATCCCTGATAGCAGGAGACTACTCTGGGCCCAGAATAAATCTGTTGGTGATCATTCCACAGTCTCCTTTGGTGACTTGTCCCAGCAGTCAGATAATTCTTGCCTACAAAGCTTTCCCAGTGCTGCATGTAAGCCACCAGCCATTTTACATCCATGGTTACCTGCTCTGTTGGGGCAAGGGATTCGATACAGGCCCAAAGCAAATGCTAGGACCAAGCCCCAGATCTAGATTAGTAGCTCTGTTATAGAAATGAGACAAGCAGGATCTTTCCAACATTTTGGGGACAAGAGTGTTCCTTGACTGATTGAGATGACCAGTCCCTCGCCCATCACGCAAATCTGAAGGTATTTGGGAAGCTCGGTTTTTGTCTGCCCTCTGCTTTCTAAGCAGCCCAGTGTGGGTGATCCTGCCTGGGAGTAGAGCTTCCACCAGCACAGCTCATAGGCAGTCCCAGCACAGCAATACACAGTCTCCATAGGGGCTGAATTTCACAAATTGACAACTTGATCTGATTACAGGGTCTGGCCCAAGTGTGATTGGTTGGCACTAGCTAACCTCTGTCTTCTGCATTGAATGGGGCAATGCCTGGATGGGATGATGAGAATGAGTGCAGCCAACCTCGCATTTAGTTGTAGGGGATTCAAGTTCTGCAACTAAATGGGCTAAGGGCTATTTGAGCATGGCCCAGTATGATGGTAGATTGATGAGAGTCTTATTCCTCATAGTGCTTGTACTGCGGTAGGGCCTAGAAGCTCCAGTCAGAGACCCATAACTCTGTTGTGTGGGGTGCTGTACAAACACTAAGTAAAATGCAGTTCATGCTCCCAAGAATGTACATTATCTAGGCTTCTGGCATTGGGCCTGTCTGTGATTATGATGAGACTGGAGGACAGGCACTTCCAAAGTGCTAAGGGGAAGATGGGCTTTATTCTTAAGAACTGATCAAGTGCTCTTCCTTTCACAGAATTTCCCATTCTGTG